TTCAGGAGTGGTGAGGGGAAGAAGTCTAAATGAGAAAGCCAAGGAAACATGCATAGCAAATGTTCTTGAAATGAAAAATGTTACTGAGACACTATTATAAATGTGCCTGCTATCACAATACATTTCACAGTTGTAGAATGACACCAGGAGCATACTTTCAGCATCCCTGGTGGGGGAGTACACATTAAAAACAAATCATGTAAACATATGGCTTCTTACTGGCAGAAGAACTGAAAAAATCATGTATCTTATTCCATGAACAAGACTTTTTGGGAGAAATATTCATGTATTAACATTTTGTGATAACACTGGTTACAAATCTGACCAGATACATGGGATAAAAGCTTTTATTAATTCTACCCATTCAGGGGAATTCCACCCCTTTCCCAATCTTTAGGAGATACATATACACTATGAGAAACATGAAGTACCCTCTAATCCAAAGACGCATATTACACCACATCACCTGTCAGCCCATTTCAAAATATGACCGCCACCCTACTTTGGGGATTTCAATGAACATTTGCCTAATTTTTCTCTTAGATGCTTGTTGGGGCAGGGGACTGTGTCTTAATCAATCTCTTGTACCACTGCCAATCACATTAATGACACAATAACAACAGTAATGATGATGATGCACCTATTTGATGTCTGTCTCCTGTTGAAGTCTATGAGAGATGGTGGGACCCGAATGAGAGTGGATGCTGATGGATGCTGTTCCATCCCCTTCTTTGTGCAAATTACTACCACAAAGGGAAGGCAGCGGCAGAGGCTCTTCAACCCGAGTCCTCTGGCTAGCTCTTTTAGCATCGCCTGTAGGGAAGGCAGGCAGCCCCCTTCTAAAAGAGGTCCAAATAAACAACTTTTCTGAGATGAAACCGACTCCTCCCGGAAAACCACTGCAGTGGGAGAGCCTTGTTATTATCTTGCTTGTTTGTTAAGAGACAGCAGGGGTCACCACATGAAAGAAGCCATTGTCTCCTCAGCTCTCAGCCTTTTCAGCCTATGAGTGTTTTTTTTGTTTTGTTTTTTTAAGAAAACCACTGCATTTGAATGGCATATCACGCACTACAGGCAAAGACAGCCTAAGAGATCAGATCCGGACATGGCCACCCAGCCCCCTCCCCGGGCCGCCTGGTCCGAGGGCCGCGGCCACCTGCAGCAGCAGGGCCGTTGCACGCAGGTTCCCCGCAGCCTCCCCCTCCCACGTGCCCGCGGCCCCGGGGCTTCCCCGCCGCTCGGCTGGATGCAGGAAGCGCTAGTGCTCGGAGCGGGCCGGGATGCAGCGGGCGTGGGGCTGGCGCTGGGCAGGTCCTGAGAGGATGTGAGCGGAATCCCAAGGGCCGGAGGCGCCTCGCCCGCCTCCCACGCTGGGAACCCCCTCGCCCGCCCCGCACGAGCTGGCAGCG